GTCTCCTTCAGGAGGATGGCAAGTTACATTTATAGACCAACTCAGGCTTGGATGTTGGCGATAGCGTCGTCGAGCTTGTCGTTCTCCCCAGCCACCCTTGGATATCACGGGGTCGACTGCTACAGCAAGGGTGTGGACAAGGCTCAACCCCGCAATTCTTTTCAATCAGAGAAAAAGAAAGAAGTGCTCATCCTTGGATTATCGTCTTTTTCGATGAGCGAAAGAGGGACCGACGACTGAGAGCTCGACAGCTCCGCCAATGAAATGCAGTGCTTATGTGCCTTCCTGCCTTACTTCTCGTCTGCGGGCGGTGAGACACTTCGAGCGCTGTTTTCCTGCAGGATGTCGAGATGAAACCAGAAGCCCACCCCGCCTCCAATGGCACGGGTGCAAATGTGTTCGAAGGCTGCGCCGCGAACTTGCCTCCTCACAGCGGTCCCTTCCTCGATGTTTTGAGAGTCGCTTGCGTGCAGATAGATCCTGCTATTTCAGGGAAGGCAAAAGAAAATGCAAAATTGGTCGAGGAGCTCTTGCTTCAAGCAGGGTAAGTTCTAACGCCCTGTGATGGTGCAGCATTTCATGCCATGCGACGTGACTGATCTACTTGCCTGGTTGCTAGCATTGACCATCCAGGACAAGTAGACCTGCTAGTGCTACCTGAAATGGGCTTGACCGGTGAGAGGAATTTTACTTACTTCCTTCAAGTAAGCGTCTGGGGATTTCCTAACGGCAGGTTACCACGTCTGTCCTCCTAGGCTACATCTTCCAAGACGAAAAGGATATTCAAGATGTTCTGGAATCGGTAAGAGCTTCCCGCGATGCAGGCGAGGATGAGACGGAGACATGTCCAACACTGCACCTCGCACAAAAGCTAGCCAGCTCTTTGCAATGCTACGTCCTCGCGGGTTTCCCCGAAAACGCGCACCATGCTAGTCCGCGCGTTGCCATCGATCGCTCTCCCATCTCGTCGTCGTCGCTGTGCATACCACCATGCGATTCTCGGACGCACGACCTGATTCCTACCGACCGCAAGCGAACCGACTTGTACAATTCCGCAGTGCTTGCGGACCGCACGGGCAATCTCATCCACGTATTCCGGAAACACTTCTTGTTTGACGACGACAAGCGGTGGGCGGAAGAATGTGCGCATCGGCTTTGCTTCTAGTGCCAATTGCAGCATGAGCTTACGCTTTCTACTTGCTAACAGCTCCAGGCTTCGAATACGTCAATCTCCCAGATCTGGGACGGGTGAGTCGCGCACGTGGAGAGAGTCGAGTGAGCACGCTGCAGAAGTTGAACGATATGCAATCTATGTACCCCATGGATAGCTCGCCGTAGGGATCTGTATGGACCTCAACCCTTACGAATTCAAGGCGCCGTTCGAAGCCTTTGAGCTTAGCCGTTTCGCTGCCCAACATCGGGCCGACATCCTAGCTGTGCCGATGAACTGGCTCCTGCCTACTGAAGAGATAGAGCCAGAGCTACAAGTCTCCGCGTCAGCGAATTCACACGCGAATCCGCTCTTGCCCAGCGTATCCACTATCAATTACTGGGCATGGCGATGTGCGCCACTATGCGAACCTAATGGAGAGGGTGCAGTAGGACATCAAACCGTCGTCATTGCTGCAAACAGATGCGGGAAAGAAAAAGGTGAAGAGTCGAGCGCGGTGAGCTGCGCTAGCATTGGTTCCGTTGATTAAAAGCTGACCCATGGGCTCTTCACTCTAATTGATGTGCAGGAAAGACATTCGCGGGTAGTTCAAGCATCTTTGCAATGGAGAACGGGCAGCAGCCGGAGCTGCTCGGCTTTCTTGGGCGGCGACAAGAAGGTGTGCTTGTTCGCAAAGTTTATCGCAAAAGACAATAAGGACGGCTGTCCAGCCCCTAAGCGCTCTTCTACAACCTACGCTAGTAACGCGTGTTAATGAGCATAATCGCTGAAATTGGAGAGAGCAGGCATGGTGAACTATGTCTTTTGAAAGAAAACACGCGGCACCGATGCTCATTCAAGTCGTTTTCGGCGACCTCGCAAGTGCCTCTTATGTAATTTGGCTGCTCAATGGTAGAGATAGTAACCTTGCAGGGACGAAACCAACGACGAGACGACTCTTGAAATGAAGCGACTCTCGAGCTCTATATCCGGAGGTTTCGAGTGGCGCCATCTCCACTCGCAGAGCGTCGCCAGTGCATAATAATCTGCAAGCACTGGAGGGTTTCGCGCACCTAGGCGAGCCGCGTTTTGAGGTCGCGCTGGAGGATAGACTGGCTTTGACCCCACCAGATTCCAATTGAGGCTGTGGGTGTAATCCTCGGCGCGAGGTAGGCAGCTGAGCAGAGACGATGACTGATTGTGCCCCTTAGATGCCCGGCTGACCCTCGCTCTCCACCTGGACCACCAGGGCGTGGGTGGTGGCACGTCAAGTCGCCATTTGCGCACCTGACTGACTCGGGGCAAGGAATTATTACACCCAGGGATCGGCGCCGGCCTGCCTATCCAGCGGCGCGCGCTTGAATCGCGGCTCGCAAGCTCCGCATCATTTCAATTGGAACACGTTCCCGCGCGATCAAGCTCGCCCGTGTTTCTAAAAGGGCAATTGCACGTGATTTTTCCGCTCCTCCCATTGGATGCACGCCCGGCTCCCCTGTACCAAGACCAAATTACTATCAATGTCTTTGTGGCTGACTCCTGTTTCGCAACGGTAGCATTGCGACGGAAATGTACCAAAAAAGCCCATTAATCTCCGAAAAAGGGACGCGTCATGCGTTGCTCGGCGCGTCGCGTTCCAGGCGCACAGGCTGACGAACACCATCGCTCACCGGCCAACAGCCAACACACTTCATCAAAACTTGCGCGCGACTCAATCTGTCGTCTGTGCCATCTGGGTTTTTTGATGATCTGATGTGCTACCGTGTGGACACCATACGACGTGCTCTCGTCGACGCCATCAACCTTTGATCCTATTACCTCCTGCAAGATCCTCAGGTCTCACTCTCGTCTTTCAAGTAAATTCGCAAATATAGTACGATCGGCCTTCATACGTACTCGGCGAAGGCAAAGGCCCCAACATGTCGCTCTATTCTCCAGCGGTCAGCAAGACCAAGCGCCGCGCCGCTGGACACAGCGCCTTCGGCAGCGTAACCCCATCCGGTACCTCCTTCCGCAGCGGCCCCTCAGGACCTGCGCATGGCGCTGGTGGTGCTCAGAGCCGCTCCATTGCTGATCTATCCGACGAGCAGCGGCAGGAGATCCGCGAAGCATTTGAGCTGTTCGACACTGACAAGGACGGCGCGATAGATTATCATGAGCTCAAAGTCGCCATGCGCGCATTGGGGTTCGATCTTAAAAAGGCAGAGGTGCTGAAAATCCTCCGCGACTCGGACAAGAGTGGGCAAGGCGTGATGGAATGGGAGGACTTCAACCGTATTAGTGAGTCAAGGATCCTGCTACTGTTGCTGCTGCTGCCGAAAGAGGTGCGAGGACTCTCTTCCGAAGCTTACCCGTTTTTGATCCGATCTACAGTGTCAGAGCGCATAGCTTCCAGGGATCCGATGGAGGAGGTACGGCGAGCGTTCGCCTTGTTCGATGACGATGGCACTGGGCGGATCAGCCTGCGGAATTTGCGCAGGGTGGCAAAGGAGCTTGGGGAATCGTTGGATGACGAAGAACTGTGAGTGCCCTGCCTGTGGTAATAGTGCGAATCCGTACTGAAGCTTACATATCTCGCCTGTATATCCACATCGTGTCCCATACCACCACAGACAAGCTATGATAGACGAATTCGACTTGGATCAGGATGGCGAAATCAACGAGCAAGAGTTTGTGCACATCATGATGGACGACTAATGAGCCTATCCCAACTTGAGACAGGCGTCCCCGTCCCATCTCCGCATTTCTGTATAGTAGCCTGCGTTTGTATTCTTCAGCATTTCGTCTGCTCTTCCCAATGAGATGCGAGGCGGCTATCATCTGACAATCATTCATGCTATCTAAGGCTATGATACAATGTATGCAAATTCGTGCGTGTTCTAAAATGCACTCAGTTCATGTGAAATTGACATGGCACAGATGGAGATCTCAAGGGTCGAAAGCGCTGTCTTCATCCATGTCAGTCATCATCTCGAAGCCGTATTTTGCATCGCCTCTGGTCCGGCATGCGAGCTGCGCGTGAACGACAAACAGACAAAGGTCAGCCTCACGTTCCTGCCCAGTCACTGCTAGAGCGTATCACCTTGGTCAAAAATCCATCGCTCCTGGCAAGTCTTCTTTCCTCTTCCTCCACGCGCTTCTGCCAGTACTGCACGTTTTCCATCGCCTCCATCAACTTGCGGCGTGTGGTTTCTGAGAATGTCGAATCGTTCCCAAGAACGGTGCCACCCCAAGCCTCTGAGGAAATAGGGTCGAAGTAAACGAGTGGCGACGGTCCGTCCAGTACATTAGTAAATCGAGCTGCGATCCAGCCTCGAGTCGTCTGCATTTGGCACAATGGCGATTGAAAGAAAGGAGAACGAGTCAAGTTGGTGAATAAATCCTCTCCAAAGGCAGACAAGAGAGGCGCACTCACAGCGTCATTTATCTCCTGCTGCAACACATCCAGTGTTAATGCATCTCCTTCGCCCAGAAGCATATGCACATCTGACAACGGAATTGCACTGAACATCTTGCTGAGATTTTGAATGCGGCGCTGACGATGCAGCAGCAAGCACTGCTGTACGAGCCCTGCGTTCCCATCCTCTTGGAAAATGGACGCGTGCTTGGATGTGAGCGCGCGTGCCTCGGATGCTCGACTACCCATCTTGCTCGCGTATGCGTTCGCGAATTGTATATATGGGCCGGCATGCATGCGCATGACGTTTCGTACTTTTTTGGATGTGTAATTTGGCAGGTGCGTCGTCTAATAATGGAGGAAAAGGAGAGAAAGCGGTCGCGAAAAAGGGTGATGAATGTGATGCGTCGCGATAAAGGATACTCAGCCAACGACGTACTTTGCCATCTTTGATCAGCTGCACCAGCATGCGTTTTTTGAACGCATCGACTTGGATTGCACTCAATTCTTGAGATGGAACGCTCAGGCACTGTAGAGACACAAAGGTGAACCCTGGTCTGCAACCCGCGCCTAACTTTCGTCGCGATCATCAAGCGTATATACTCACGCTCTCGAAAAAGTCTGACGCGCGCTCCAGCCTGCCAAGCTTGGTAAGCACGAGCCCGCCATAGTAAAAGTACTCCAGCACATCGGTGTAGACCAAATGAAAAGCTTTCTTGCTTGCGCGAGACACGTCATGCTGCAAGAGGAGATCGTATGCCCGGGCGTAGTCCCTTGCTTCGAGGCATTGAAAGAGGAAGACGGGATAGATTGAGGACAGATCTGCTGGATCCCGCACCAAGTGCTTCAGGAAATTGCTCATGAGCGGCAACGCCCAGCCCGGATCCCCGATAATAGTCGCTGCCTTTGCAAGTCCTTTGGAAAATTGATGCGCTCGCTCTGGTGCGTTTGAGCACTGTTTGCCATCCATATTGGTGGTGAAGTTGACGAGCCACGCCGTATTGACTCGTATGAACTCATCTTGCCGCCGCCGCGCTACTAGGTCCTCCGTTACTTGCAAGCGGTTGAGACGTGCTGTGAGAATGTAGAGGTAGGCGAGCGAATGTGTATGCGGATCGAGAAAGGTGAGCGGATCTTTGCCATCGATGGCCGGCTGACTGAATGCGCTTTCCCCCGCCCCTCCGTTCCATTTCCATTGCGCTGCATACACTAGATAGAGTTGGTTGGCCACATGGGTGTGGTATTCGTCGAGAAATTGAGCAGATGCAAGCCGACCATCTTCCGTGTAAGCGCTGCCGTCTGCGCTTCCAGCTGTTGCGTTGATCGTGGGCGAATGCTTCTGCGATACAGTTGTATAAGTCGACAGGGCAGCTTCGACAACACGCTGGATGGAGGGAAGCGGCTCAACATTCTCCTTGCTGGACATGCCAGCTTGTGACTGTGCCTGTGCCAGGCCCTGGTCATGACCTTGTCCATGAAGCTGCGACATGGCCATGGCGGTCGCTCGAATGGTCGAACCAGTCTTTCCGTGCGTTGCTCCACGCTCTTCTCTCGCGTTGAACACTAGAGTGCCACCGCACTGAACAAGCCGCAATACGAAGACCAAGCGCCGCCGACTTCGAGCCAGCCAATCTCAGGGCTAGAGCAACTCACCTTGTCCAGAACTCCAAATCTGACGTTGATCTGTGGTGGTATGACTGAGTATTGAGCGTGTTCAGAGTAAGTCAGCGATGCATTGATGTGCGCGGCGCTAGATAAAGGTCTACCGAACTTATGAGCTCAGGACCACCAACAAGTGGGCAATTCAGGGGGTCCTACAAGGAGATTGGGCAGAATTACTGAGAAACGCATGTGCGACGTGCGTCATTCATCTCACGGCCACTTGCTCGACCTGGAATCTAACCCTAATATGAGATGCTCTCTCGTGTGGACTCCGTATTCAGATTGTGTGCACAAGCGAGAAGAGCGGGACGCGTCGTATTGTCTCTCGAGGACACGCGATGCTGACGCGCTCACGCGTCAGCCGTTAGGATGTCGCATATTACTCTAGTCGATGAGACGCTCTATTAGGGAACACCTTTCTACTGCTTGCATCTTGGTCGATACGTTCGGAGATGGCCGAGAGGGAAGCGAGCAGGCCCCCAATAGTGAGTTTCAGCATCCTCTCTGCAACAAGTCGAAGTGAAGGAAGCGCAACAGGGACCGCGCCATGTCGGGCTCAGGCTTAATGTATGGGGGCACCAACAGCGGAGGCGCAGGTGCAGGCGACAGCAAACCCCAATTCGAGTACGATGCCGCCGCCGAGTCCTCCTTTGTGTCCTTCTTTAAATCCCTGCCGCCTCAGCCAAACGGAACCGTGCGGCTGTTCGACCGATCGACATTTTATAGCGCACACGCCCAAGACGCGTTTGTGGTCGCTTCTAGCGTGTACAAGACGCAGTCCGTCATCAAGTACCTTGGCAGCGGAGGCAAAGTCAACGGGCTCGCATCGTGCACCCTCAACTTGACAGCCGGAAAAAGTTTCTTGAGGGAGGCGCTGACGGCGAGGCAGCTGAGGATCGAGATATGGTCTAATGAGGGCGGAGGAAAGCGATCCAACAAGTGGACCATTGCTCAACAGGTGTGTACAGCGAGGTTTCTGTAACGGCGCATGCGTTGTCTGCGAAGACGCTGAACATCTATATTTGCTCTATTTCCTTGCATTAGGCTTCACCGGGTAATCTACAAGAAGTAGAAGACCTGCTCTTCGCGAACACAGATTTGGTAGCCTCGCCTGTGGTCATTGCCTTCAAGACCAAACTGCTGGATGGTGTTCTACACGTAGGTGCGGCGTTCGCTGACGCGACCAACAGAGAGCTGGGAGTGTCCGAGTACGCAGAGAACGATTTATTCAGCAACACAGAGGTGAGAGAAGAAAGGAGAATGGCACCCAACTGCATCGCGAATAGCACCTCTCACAAAGTTCTGGCTGTTCCCCTGCGCACACAGTCGCTCCTAATCCAACTCGGCGTCAAGGAATGCGTCCTGCCGGATGACAAGAATGAAAAGGATGTGCAACTGAGCAAGTTGCGCATGGTGATTGACCGCTGCGACTGTGTGGTCACCTCTCGGAAAAAGGGCGACTTTAATGCCGGCGAAGTCGAGCCCGATCTCGAGCGACTGCTCAAGGCGTCCGCCACCGCCGTGGCGACACTACCCGAATACGACCTAAAGATTGCCATGGGAGCCGCGAGTGCCTTGATCAACTACCTTGGCCTGCTCCGGGACTCGTCCAACTTTGGTCGCTACAAACTCAGGACGCACGACCTAGCGCAGTACCTCAGGCTTGACAATTCAGCTATGCGAGCGTTGAGCCTCTTCCCCGAGCCGGGCGCAACGGGGCATTCGAAGAGTATGAGCGTCTTTGGCCTTCTCAATAAATGCAAGACCGCACAGGGCACGAGGATGCTCTCACAATGGCTCAAGCAGCCTTTGAGGAACTTACATGTCATTCGTGAGTCTCTTATTTCAGTCAGAACCTGGTACTCTTCCTCACTCAATCTGTGTGTGCATTCCTTGTAGAGGAACGTCAAGGTCTTGTGGAGCTCTTTCTCGAGGAGACGGAACTGCGGCAATTCCTGCAAGATTCCCAAATGAAAATGATGCCGGACCTGCACCGTATCAGCAAGCGCTTTCAGCGTGGCGTCGCTTCCCTTGAAGACGTAGTGCGTGTATACCAGGTGATTTTGCGGCTGCCAGATATCATCTCTGAGCTTGAAAAGACTGCGTCTGCGGGCACGGAAGACGATGAGGATGAAGAGATGGAACAAAACGAAGGAAACGGACGGAAGACGCATCGCACGCTGCTTCGCGCTCGTTTTATCCAGCCGTTGAAAGAAATGCGAGGATTACTGTCAAAGCTCGCGGACATGGTGGTAGCGACGATCGACCTAGATGAATTGTCTCGACACAACTTTGTGATCAAATCCGAGTTTGACCCCAAGTTGCGGAAGCTCAAGAGTGCCATTGATCAAATCCGCGACAACCTCGATGAGCAGCATAGCAAAGCCGGCAAGGATCTGGGCTTGGACATCACAAAGAAGTTGCATCTGGAGAACCACAGCGTCTATGGCTATGTCTTTCGAGTGACGCGCAGTGAAGCCAAAGCGATCAAAGGCGCGAAAAGCTACCACGAAGTCACGACCCAGAAGAATGGCATCTACTTCCGCACACGCGAGCTCAAAGAGTTGGGTGATGACTATCAGGAATCAATGCGGAGCTACGAGAGCCATCAAAGTAGCGTCGTCAAGGACATCATCAGCACTGCTTCTTCCTACTGCGCACCGCTTGAGCAGCTCAACATCATCCTCGCCGAGCTTGACGTCCTGCTCAGCTTTGCCTATGTCTCTGGCAGCGCACCGATCCCCTACACCAAACCGCTTATGGTGGACTCTTCCTCCTCCTTTGGCAATGGCCAGGGTAGCGACGGCACTTCTCCGACATTGAAGATCGAGGAAGGCAGGCATCCTTGTCTTGAGGTCCAGGAGGACATCAGCTTCATTCCGAACGACACGGTCATGGAGCCGCAAGACTCGGAGTTCCTCATCATCACGGGCCCGAACATGGGCGGCAAGAGCACATTTATTCGACAAACGGGTATCATCGCGCTCATGGCACAGGCGGGCTGTTTCGTCCCTGCTGCACAAGGGTGCACGCTGCCTGTTTTCGATTGCATCTTGGCCCGTGTTGGCGCTGGAGATAGCCAGCTGAAAGGTGTCAGCACATTCATGGCTGAGATGCTTGAAACCGCAACCATCTTGAAGGTGAGACGTTTGGGACGATGGCTTGATGCAGGCGAGGACTGCACTGACTCCGTTTCAATTTTTTCTCACATTTCCCCACACAGACCGCCACGAAGGATTCGCTAATCATCATTGATGAGCTCGGCCGCGGCACGTCGACGTATGATGGGTTTGGCCTTGCATGGGCGATATCAGAGTGAGAGCAACAGATTGTGTCACATTGCGTCTCGTATATCCCACTGACCTTACTGCTCATCCATGTCCTCGCTCGATCAGATGGATTGCAACCAAGATCCGCTGCAAGTGTCTCTTTGCGACACACTTTCACGAGCTTACCGCACTGGCGAAACAGCAAGCGCACGCAAAAAACTTGCACGTCGTCGCGCACGTCAAGCAGCGTGGGGGTGGCGACAAGCAGGATCGTGATATCACTCTGCTCTACAAGGTCGAGCCTGGTATCAGCGACCAGTCATTCGGTATTCACGTGGCAGAGCTCGCAAATTTCCCTGACTCCGTCATACGACTGGCCAAGCGCAAGGTTGCTGAGCTGGAAGACTTTGATGGTGGGTCGCGCGAGTGAGCCTGACGTCCATAAACTGTTCACAACTGATTCATCTCTCATTCCTTGCAGACGAGGACGTTGGCAGCAACGACGCCGCCCTTACCGCTTGCAGTGAGGACGTAGAAAAGGGGGCGTCTCTCGTGGAAGAGTTTATGCAAGCTTGGGCCAAGCGATCTGCCGAACTCGCTCAAGATGGGCAGCAAGCCAGTGAGGCAGAAGAGCCAGCCAGCAAGCGCCAGCGCGTACAGTCCGATCTGCAAGTCGCTGAGCTACGCAAGATGGTTGAGGAGTATCGCCCGCGAATGGAGGAGAACGTCTGGGTCTCCAAGGTCATGCAAACCATGTAGATGCTCGAGTTCCCACATGTATACTCGATATGAGCCATTCTGTACATTAGGCATGATTCGAAAGACCAGCACTTCTCGGATAAAGTGCGTCCATAGCCATGAAGATGGGGCCGGTGAGAGCAACGTAACCAATGAAAAAGGTGGTAAAACAAAAATTGAATTACGATTGCTGTGACTTGGATACGTGTCTATCATGGTACAGACATAGTTGCAGCTAAGGTTGCGCGCTGACATGGTAACCGTTGCTAATGGACTTGGGGCAAATATGCGACCTTGCGACCTTTTATTGGTGGTGTCCAGTAGGAAAATGCAGATTGCGCCAAGTAGTTGATTTAGTGGCATGATGAGCCGATTGGGCTTGCGAGCACTGTCGAGCCGCTATGCCAGCTATCGCGTACGCTGTTGCGTCGAACTCTAGGTTGGCCTGGTCCATGGGCCACCACGGAGGAAAGTCGATTGGAGAGGCGCTTGGACATTCTTGAATGTTCGCTGTTTGACGCAGTCTGCGCCTGATCTGCATCTTCGTCCGAATCCATGACCTCGGCACCCGCAGCTTCACCTTCGACTACATGAACCTGTTGCAAAAGCTCAACAACCTCGGCATATGTGCACGGGCCAGACAGGAATTCGCTCTATTTTTGCAGGATCGTCGTGGAGAGGTCAGCATGTGTTTCTACGAGTGTCGAAGCGAAAGGAAACTCACGTTCATCAATATCTCAGCGAATGGTCGATTGTCTGGGTCCATCTCAGTGCTCCATGCGAGGAACTCTTTCAGCTCATGCGAAAATCGCTCAGGGTGCGAAATGGGCGGGAGACCGACCGTGGCAGTAAGAGTAATGGCTCGTAGGGGCGGTAGATCAATCCGCGGCGGATCTCCCTCTACCATTTCGTACAGCACAACGCCGAGAGACCAAATGTCGGCCTTGTAGTCGTATGCTGCTGCTTTGATGACTTCGGGGGCCATCCAGAAGGGCGTTCCGACCACACTCCTGCGCTTTCCCTCCAATTGGCAGGCGTGAGTAAAGTCGCTCAGCTTTGAGACGCCATCGCTCCCAATCATGACATTGTCGGAGCGACAGTCGCGATGCATGATCTTCTTGGAATGGAGGAACTCGAGACCACTGAGGACATCCGAAATGATTCGACTGATGTGCCGCTCGGTCATGTCAACGCCGTCGCCACGAACGGCGATGATGTCGGCCAGCGAGCGATCCATCAGCTCTTGGGTGATCCATATGCCGACTTGAGGCTCATAGAAGCACTGATAGATTGGGAGGATATGTGCGTGGGCGCATGAACGCCACAGCGACAACTCTTGCGGCAGATTCTCTAACCGCAATGCCGAAGCATCTTCATTGGAGGTTGGAAGACAAACAATCTTCACAGCGACCTTTTCGACCTTGGCAAGGCCAGTCGTAGACTTGTCAAAAAATGTAGTGTCAGCGCAAAAGACATCGCCGCATTCTCCTTCGCCGATGATGACCAGCTGCTCAAACATCGCGTGCGGAGGCTCTGGTCGCAGGTAAGGCGCTGTACGATCAATGAAGATGTATTGGCGTCAGTTGTAATAGACAGAGCTTGGTCTGCTGTATGAAACTCACCAAGATGCCTGATGGACGGAGGCAGCGCGTCCCTATGAATCCGTTCGTCCGAATTGAGTTGCGCTTGAGACGACAGCCCCGCTGACTTGGATGGGACGCTAGATGCAGATGTAGACCGAGGCAATGATGGTCCAACAGGGTTTGGAGAGGATGCCACAGGAAGCAGGCCCTGCGAGGTGGCTTTGGTTGGGGCGGTTACCGAGTCGGCCGCTCTGTGGCTTGCTCCGGTCAACAATTCTCTGCTTGGGACATCAGTTAGGCGCGGCGCAGTCGTGGCTGGATTCCTACGCTGCACGAGACCTTCATTGTCGTCTTGATCACCCTCGCCCTTGTTGTCACCGCCGCTAGAGTGGCTCCACGTGTCTGAGTCTCTTTCCTGCCTACTGCGCACGATAGCTGCATACACAGACTCTGCATCCGACCCAGCCAGCGACCCGCTTCCAGTCGATCCCATCGAGCTCCTCGAAGGCTCCTCAGTCGGCACCGACCTGGCAGACATCCGCCTGCGGCGTTTGAGCGACTTGGAATGTGATATGGCCAAATCGAGATCATCCGAGTCCTCCCCTTCGGACATTCCGTGCGTGTTGATGATCGAATCGAGGAGATCATCATCATCTGCATAGCCGCCGTCGCTGTGATACCGCTCGTCGAGAGATGTCTCCGACTTTTTCGCAGCGAACGGCGGCACACTTGGTGATGGGGGCGGGTGTGACGGTGGCGGCGTCAGAGGCTCCTTCTGGTACACATCCGAGTTGCGAAAGTAGGTGTTCTGCGGTAATGCTGGGCTATGCTCTGAAGAGAGATGTTTAGGGTGCACAGGAAGGTCGTCCTTTGGCTTCTGCCGCGGGCGCATGCTGGCCGTCGAGCCATTCATCTTGATGGACTCCGATCTAGGGCGAGTGCTGGCTTCGGCATGGGCATATCCATTCTTGATCCCGAGACCTGCCAGCTCTGGCGCATCATCAGTGTTGTCTTTCCGCTCTTTGGAATTGTGCGATTTCAGACTTTTTGAAGAGACTTTCTTCGACACTTCTTGGACGGCCGGTGCGCGGGGCCTCCTCGAAGGTCGAATCGGAGGAGTGACCATCTTGATTTCGACGTGCGAGATGGCAGATACCGCCGAAAGAGGCCTGGTTGGCGGCGTAGAATCTCCCATCTGCTCGGCCTTGTTGTACACCGGGCTTCGAGCGTGAGGCGACCGCGACCTTGACCTGTCTGGACTGGGCTCCGGCAGGGGTTGCTGCTGCGACTGCCCCAATTTCCTTGGCGACACAGGCATTGCGAGGCGGGGAGCGACTCCCGAATCCGTCGAGCTGGGCCTTGAACTTGCCGGTCTGCTAAAGCCAATAGCGTGGGATAGCAGGGAATCGCCCTGCATCTTCTTCGAAGGTAATACGGGTGGATACGGGCGCGGACTGCCTCTGCGAAGCTCGCGCAGCGCCAGGGTGCGCCCTCCGTCAGTGTCCTCCGCGTTGGCAATGCTCAGCTTGGGACTGCTGACGTTATGGCGCGCCTCCTCGATTTGGCCCCGGTAAAAGTCGCCGCTAGTGAAGACGCCTTCGACTTTGTGCGCGTTGGGACTGTGCAAGCTCGAAGTGGGTGAGCGCGGCGATGTCGGCGCGCTGCCGGGCCAGTCGCTCGGTACGGTGACGGGCGACAGGCCTGAGGACGAGCAAGTCGCATCGAAGGAGTGTGTCGCACTCGCAGAGCCAATGCTGGACATGGGGTTCTTCTTGTGTACTGCTGCTACCTCTGCCGAAGCGATCTCCTCCTTTGGATCCTCGTCGAGCTCCTTAGCTTCGCTGAGACGGCCACTGGCCATGACGATATGGCTGAGATCGCTGAAGTCGAACAGGGAGGACCTACGCTTGTGGTCGTTGGCCGATGAAATCGACGGCGGCTTGCCATCCCCGAACTGGGGGGACGGGAGCGCCGGACTGGACCGAGACGAAGACATGGGTGAGGAGACGCCGAGGGAGAGCGCGCTGATGCTGTCGACGGGAGCGCCGACTGAGCTGAGGAGCGAGCTGGCCCAGCTGTCGCCGCCGGTGTCGACGTCGAGCAGGCTGAGGGACATGCCTCCGCCTCCGACGCCGTCGAGGGTGAGGAAAGGCGGAGCGACGGACGAGGGCTTCTCGTCCGCTGCAGCTGTATCGTCCTGTGCCGACCCACGCCGCTTGCTGGAAGACATGGAGTCTTGTCGCTGGTGCGTGGAATGTGTGTCCTCTCGTGCCCCATCGTCGGGCGCGGTGGCCTCATCTTCGTCATCATCATCGCTGTCGTCCTCGCCATCATTTTCCACATCATGGCCAGCTTCGTTCTCATCCTCATTCGGGTAGATGTCCTCCTCGCGATGATGGAGTGCCTGCCCCCTTGACGCAGTCAGCGGCTCGCAGAGCTGCGGGCGGCGCGTGAACACCACGCTGCGTATCGAGCGATCGCGAGCCTGTCTGCGGCGGCGCTCCATCTCGAGCTCGTCCTCGTTGCCCTCGTCCGACTCCGTCTCGGTCTGGACGCTGTGCTGGCTGAAGTCGACCTCGCTTTCGTCCGTCTCCTCGTTCCGCACCGCGCTCGTGGCAGCGTGCTTCTGCATCTGCTGACCGGCGGAATTGGCATCGTGCACTCTTTCCAGCTCGCGTTCTTGCTTGCGTTCTTGCTCGCGTTCTTGCTTGCGTTCTTGCTCGCGTTCTTGCTCGCGTTCTTGCTCGCGTTCTTGCTTGCGTTCTTGCTTGCGTTCTTGCTCGCGTTCTTGCTTGCGTTCTT